CCCCTGGCCAACGAGCTGGCTTCGGGCAGCGGCGGCCCCGCGGCGGGCGACGACGAGGACGGACAGAACCTTTGGTAACGACCGCACCCCTCTCTGGTCCCCCGCGGGTTATCTCCTCTCCGGGGCGGACACCTTCGGGATCCCAGAGCCCCGCGGGAGCAGGGAGCCGGGCGGGGCCTCCCGGGAGCTGGGGCCGGCGGTTCCCGTCCTCGGCCGGGCCCGGCCTCAGCCTGCGCCTTGCTCCCTGTTAGGTCCTGCATCCTCAGCGAGGTCTCCACGCGCTCGCGCTCTAAGCTCCCGACCGGGAAGAACGTGCTGCTGCTGGGTAAGTGCTCTCCGCCGGGATCGGGGCTGCAGGCTCACCCCTCCGCTCGCCCACTCCCTTTGTGCGGACAGCGGAGCCCAGCCGCGCCCCGCCTCCCGGCCTGCGGCTGACAGCTGGGGGACAAGGCACCCGGGTCCTCCCGGCTTGGTCCCTCCCGTCCTTTCTCCTCCCCGGGATGTGGGGTGGCTCTGTCATCTCCCTTGAGAGAGGCAGAATGAACGAACATAACACCCAAGGGAATCCTAGTGGTCTGAGGTTCCACCTAGACGAACGGGGACAGTTTTCCCTTTCATAACAGAGATTGGTAGCAAGCAGGAGGGCTCCAGCGCAAATGCATGCCGTTAATATTTAATAGCTGACTCTTTTGTGTAATTGACAGGAGCCAGAGACTGGGTCGTGATGAGTGTTATTTGAATCAGCGTTCTCCCGTTCTCCTGGCGCTGTGCTCGGGTTGCAGCTGCCTTTTTGACTGTCACCTAATAACTCTGAAATTTGTAAAGGGCAGTAGAACAGCGGTCTCATTTAGTTCCTTCAGCCGAATGGCTAGAATAAGGAAGACATGTCTCTCCCCCTTCTCATAGGTATTTTTTATCTCTACCGGCTGTGAAGTGGGGATAAAGGGCCAAAGGACAGCAGACAATCCTAGCCTCGCATTTTTGCAAGTTTTTCCAGCTCCAGGAGAAATCTCACTTTTTTTTTA